CTGTTATTTCCTTGTTAAAGTTGAAAGTAATCCAATGCAAGTAAAATTTGCACCAAAGCAGATAATAACCATGACATACGTCCTTTTGTAGAGGAAATTAAGCACATGGCCACTAAAATTTGTAACTACCAAGATATAAAGTCAATAGAAAAGTCTTGGATCCTGAATAACGTCAAATGATACCACCGTATCGTCTTCACCAAAGATATGCATTTCATTGGAACTTAAAGTTATATTTAGCATAACATGTTAATTTAGGAGTATTAAGGAAAGCAAAGCTTCAAAAAATGACTATTACTTTCCTACTCAGACATTTTAAGATGTTGTGTATTGTGCTAAACCATGACTCCGATAACAAGAATGCATTCTCTAAATCTTGAAAGTTCGAGGGAGTTTTATCATTCCACAATGTGCTTCAAATGTGTCAACATTAATCTTACTTACACTAAGGATAGCCAAATTTGAACTAGCTAAAAAGCTTAAAGTTTCATAATATGCATATGTGATGTGACCCTTACTGCACAAAAAGAAGATAAGAGGAAGCCAAATATTTCCATCGACTGTTTAAAATGTTTGATTATACTCCGCGTTCAGAGAACACTTGTTTTCATCACGAATGCTGCACATTATACTTATTGCTATGTATCTCTCAGGTGATACTGGACTACCTCATATTTCATGGACAAAACTTATGTATATCTTATTATGCATAAAATTTTTTTGTAATTTCAACCTAAAAACCTAGAATGCTAAAACAAGTTGCTTGATCGGATGTAATTGCACCAACTTAAAATTGAGAAATGACCTAAAAATTTTGTGAAATGATGCATTCCGTGGGGAACATATTACTTTAAGAGACGGTGCCATTATGTAGAAGTGATGATCACCATATTGGTGATGTATTTCAGGATTCATGGATATTTAAAATTAAAGATCCATTATCACGTATTTGTAATACTGTAGGTTATATTTCAACTTTGACAAGTTTAACACGAAACAATCAGTTTTATGCAGTAATTAGCATATAGTTAGACAAATGAATCAAGCAAGAGTGAAAGTTGAATATAACTCTTAGATCCCACAATTTGAAGACATTGACCCAGAGACCATGAGTCATGACTATAAAGTTTAAATGTAAGAAATGAAAGAGGTATTCCAATTTGGTTTGTCGTATTGGCATCTACTGTACACTCTAAAATCCCCGATGATGGCTTTGATTAAAGCACCAGACTAATAATATCAATCTTGGGTTAATGTTTCCCATCTCTTTGGCCTATAGTAGCTTTTTGTCGTCATCTTCTTGTCCCTTTTGCTTCGAAGCTCTACTGCTCATAGTTATTCTTCATGGTTTCTAACTATCAAGTCACCTATTGTATTATTCTCCCCCGCTCACTTATTTTCAGATACATATATATGATATCTTTTTGTCCATACAATGAAAATACCCACTGCATGTGTGTTTAAATTTTAATATGAAAGCAACTGCTATGCCTCTTCTGATACCGAACTTACCTTCTTAGTGTGATGAAGTCTGCACATTGTTCTTCATTAGTTTGAGAATCTATAAGTTATCAGAAACGAAGTAAAAGAAGCCGAATTTTTAGAAGATTACCATCCCTAATTAAATCCGGTATAAGTAGTTTGAAAGGGTTTATTTTGTTGTTGGCTTCCTTGAGATTAAAGCTCACTGTTGGTTCGCATTGTTTCAACAAAGAAGTTAAACATTTGAAATTTTCTTGGAAATAATCACCTCCTTTCATAGCACCTGAGATGAAACTTCGAATTGCTGGAGATTTGGTGATATCCTTTTGTAGTTTCATGAAAGAGGAAAACTCGTGCATTTGATTAAATAATATTTCAAGTTTTGATAATACATCATCACCTTTGGCTACATTCACTAGATTCTCATTTAGCAACATATATATCTTGAATTCTTGATCTATCCCTGAGCAACATATATAACTTGAAGCCCTTGATCTATACATAGTCATACACCCCTTGCCTCAGAATATGTATTCGTTGACTGACTGCTTTTAAATGCTTCAGTATGGTAATGCTAATAACGTCCTTTTCCATAGCCCAAAAAAGTTGTTCTTTTCTGTAACTTTCAAAGCACTGTCTAATATGCTAGTACGCAGGTACACTTGATTGCAAAGATTAGATGTGATGATATAGCCAGACTATATGCACGTCTACTCTTACTGGTACAATTTTGACTTACCCAAATAGCTTTAACTTTAACATGCAAATCTTCACAAGATATCGGATTACCTTATTGAAAAGTTAAACTATATATACACCTATGGTTAAGAACAAGCTGCCAATTTGGAAGAGAAGAGATAAAGCTGACTTTTAGGAGATGAGAAGGTTCACTTCCTCACGGTACTAAAGCATATGGGTCTGGTGTGGTTTCACATTTTCAAGAACAAGTACAAAAGCACAACACCTTCTTACTGGCTTCATTATAGACATAGTACCATGTCCACTTGTAAGTTGTATATATACATATATATATATATATATATATATATATATATATATATATATATATATATATATATAGATAGAACATACACTTTTTATTTAGATTGTAGAAAAACAAGTATGATAGCACAACCCATTAAATAGAGTATTTACATAATTAGGTCCTCTAAGAACTACTGCGAAAAGCTACAGCCTGTTGGGATGAACTGCTGTATCTCGTAATTTATGCTCTAGGAAGATAACTCATGTTACTGATTTTTATTTTCTTTGAAGTTGACAGCTTGACATATAATATCATCAATAGTTGAAATGCTGAAGAATCACTACTTTTGATGACACTGGTATCTCCCGTACTTCCTCAGATTGTGTGTATCTTGTCTATAGCTAAATTTGGCTGTGCTTCCAAAGATCTAAGATTTCCACCTCCGGACCAAATAATATCAAAATCCCACTAAAGGCGAGGGGTAGAGATACCATAGACAAGGTACCTTCAGACAAACTAATTGTTGGTAAAAATTGATTATATCATAGAAGCGGGTATAAAACAAGATAACGGGTCCCTTGGCTCTCATAAAGGCTTGAGATCATACTTGGAATGCCTAATGACCACTCCAGTGTAAAAGAGAACATAAACTTTGATGAAGGTGATGTCGTTTTTCGATGTTGTGTAGTATACTAAAAAGGAGGAGCGAAGGAAAATTAATAACAGAGAGAGAGAGAGAGAGAGATTTTGAGCAGATGATGCGCAGATGTTAATGGTTGATGTACCTGGAACTTGAGAACTCATAAAGCTTCCCTTTTGGGGAGAAAACGATCAGTGCAACTTCTGCATCACAAAGAACTGATAGCTCAAAGGCCTTCTTGAGAAGTCCACTTCTCCTCTTTGAGAATGTCACTTGTCTACTCGTTGCATTTTCAATCCTCTTCAGCTGAGTTTTCCCTCTCGCCATTCTTACAAATTTAGATAACAAAAAGAGGGCCAAAATTGAATCCACCTACAACCCTGAAAAAGAAATCGATGATTCCGTTAAGGGTTGAAGTGCAAGCAACCAAAAAACACTCGATCAAGAAAAGTTTGAAAATAAGCACATGAATTAAAAAGTTTCCAAAAACAGAAAGAACCGGAAGGGGAATGGAATTGATCGACCCCAAAAATGGAAAAACCAGACAAAACCTTTTCTGGGATGTCTCAGATCTGCAAGATGGGAGATGAGAAAAGCTGGAAAATGCTGGGTAGGTGAGACGCTAGCAGAAACCCTAAAGAGAGATTTTTTCAGGCAAGATGTGCAGAGAAACGATATTCCTCAAACTCCTTGGTCTTTATGAGTCTCATCTCCCAACCACCGAATATATGCAAAACACAAATGATTAAGGAAAGACTAGCAAGGCCCCAATACCTCATCCCTTTTCTTCTTTTGGTAAACTCGCGAGAAGCACGAAAGAGACCCCCCTCCAAAAATGAAATAAAAGGGGAATATTTATTTTTATATATTTGTATAAATGGCAGGTGGAAACTCGGGGGCAGCATTTTTTGGTTATTCTTTCTAGTTTCTAGTAAAAAAGATGCCGAGGGGACCATTACATATCAATGTGAACGACGCAAGTTTTCATGCTGTTCGCTTCGTGGATCGACAGATAAGCAAAGGTTTGCCTTTGGTCATCACAAGTCAAAGGTAATTTTTTAGTATTTTCCTATGTAGGTTCTATGACAAGTCTCGAGGCATTTGGCCCTTTTCTTTCTTTTTTTTTTTTAATAATTAAATTCCTCTCTCCGAATATCTGAAGTTATTAAATGCTCTTTTCACAAATCCAATTCCGATTATTCATTCATTTTCCCTTGTTGGTATATTCGTATTGTTTGCTCACATAGTACTTATTGTGAGGATCCCAATTCATCGTGCATTATTCACCTTCCCAAAATAGCATTCCGCTCTCATTATTGCGTGCAGCACCAAAATTCTAGGCTAGGCTGTCTAAATGGATTTCACCCAAAAATAAAAAAGATTGTAAGTAGAAAATTTTAAATTTAAAATCTTTTACTCCGAAAAAGGAAAAAAAAAAAGGTTTGCATGAAACGGAAAGATCAGTCTTACAAGAAATTGTTTGGAAACTGTTAATGATAGACGAGGATGACCCAATTTGATAGATATTTAGCAAGTGGCGCTGCAGCTCTATTCACAATGAAGACAATCAAATGAAGAATATAGAGAGAGTTTAGTGACATTTATGCGCCATACACAGAATTTTCATGTGAACCAGTACTTTTTTAAGAAATAATAAGGACAAACGCTGGTTGACATTAACTTTTGCAAAAAATTATGACACTAGGGTTAGGTAATGGGCCAAAAACTTGATGCAACAGCCAGAATCTAAACGTGTTAAAATTTCCTGTAGAATTACCAGAAGTAGAAGCAAACTAGGACGGGATAGGCCCCCCACCCCCCCAACCCCCAAGAGAAAAACAAGGCCAACCTGTTCAAGACATTTATGCACTTTAAAAGGGTGTGATAAACAGTCCCTTAAGAACCAGCTGGAGGAACAACAGCTCTTGTGAGGTGTGCTTCCTCTCTCTCTCTCTCTCTCTCTTTCTTTCTTTCTTTCTTTCTTTCTTTCTTTCTTTCTTTCTTTCTTCCTTGGGATAAACTAAAACAACATTCGATTACCTAAAAAGGATAAAACAGTGGATTGACGGATGGGAGGTTGAGGATCACATCGGTGTCGGTTGTCAATACTTTGGCGGTCATGTAAACTCACTCACTGTTACTGCCCTCCCTGGAAGTGGGAAATCAGATCATACCTAAGAGTCGGCAGCAGCTGTATCAAAAGTTGGAGCACTCCCCCTGGTTAAACCACAGAGTTTGCTCATTTTTGTCCGTACAACGTTAGAAAGATGTCATTGTCTGCCCGTACAATTGGCGGTCGTCCTCAGACCAATAAGCAGGCGCCAGCCCTGCATCCTTCACAGGGCGTTCACGTGCTCGTGTACCCTTCGGCTGCTGTATGGCTGTTACTATTATTAAACTAATGACTACGACTTGACTTTCCTATTTGCATTTTCTGTGGTGGCAATTTTTCTATGACGTGTCTGTCGTTGTCCTCGATTGGTCCGGCTGGTTAGTGGTTACGACCTTTCTTCCATTTGATTTCTCTCTCTTTTTATTTTGGTTTAATGTATGGACAGTGCTACAGTGCCTATAGTTATGGTAACGATATTAGGGAAACCTGCTATTATAGGTTTCTATTACCTTTAGTGACAGATCAAATCTTTTAGTGACTTTTTAAATATTATATTAAAATAATTAATATTAACTTTAGTAAGTTTTTAATTAAAACTAGTAAGTATATGCCTGAAAGATAAGATTTAGTCAGAAATAGAAATTTACACTTTGAGTAATTTAATTTACTTATTATTTGACAAAATTTACTTATGTTTAAATTAAACTTACCAATACTGAAAGTAAAAAATGTACATATTTAAGTAAAAAAACGGTTTTGGGTTCCTGAAAACGGTTTTGGGTATCACCTTTCTCTTTAAAGTTATCTACCTTCTTCTTATTCAGTTCCCAGTTCCAATGATACGATTGAATTCCCAAGCAAAGGTTTCCACTTTGATCCACACATTCTCTTTGTTACAATTGAATAAATCTTCTCACTTCAAAATTTTCATCTTTAGTTCACACTTTGCTTCTATCCTTTCTCATCGTTCGGTTGGGTTTGAGTGCTGCCATATGCAAACACAACAAAAGGGTTAGCGACGGTGGTAGCCAGCCAAAGAGCATATGAAAAATAGCAGTGACGAGGTTAGATCATCATGTTCTCGTGAAATCGTTTGATTATATTGCTGTAATTTATTTATATTTCATTTGTTTTGTTTGTCAAGATTTTCTTGGGAAATCAAGGCTGAGAATTTGAAGATTTTATTGCAATTTTGGGGCCGAAAATGTCCGTTGAAACATCTAGGAAATGGTTGTAGTTTTGATTGTCTACGGGTAAAATATGTTTAATAGCCATGTGAAACATCTAGGAAAGGACTTGAGACCAGGCGTTTAAGTTAAATGTGATTAATTTGTGAATGCATATAAGATGTTTGGTGAAATGTCAAAGAGAAATTTGTATGTTGTGATTGCTACTCTGTGCGGGTGAGAATTACTAATATATTAGTAACTCAACATGAGCTTTATAACTTGAATTCTTCAGGCAAGAGAGGTTTCTCCCGTTTTGGAATTCTAAGTTGATACGCTTGATGGAGCATATGTTATTGAACTGAACTGATCTAGAATCATTGTTGCGAATCTGTTGTTTCTATGGAAATTTATTATCAGCCTCTTGAATTTTTTACTCCATTGTAACGTCTGCAATGCCACGGAAATTTGGCCATTATTACTCTTGTAAATCTGTGTTGCAGAAGCAATTCTTATTACCATCCTATGATACATGTAGATTTTGTAGAATCACATCTTCCCTCTTCTTCAGTCAGGAAAGGAGAGAAAATTCATAGAACAGTTTCCGACCATCAATCAATTATGGTGTTATACATACTTCATATTTTTGCATTTTTTTTTGTTTATTTTTCTTTTGAATGGTGTTGCATGGGGCAAACCTGCGGAATCCAGTGGTCTTTGAGCAAAGGATTGTCAAATGCTGGTTGTTGATACATATAGACACAATCAATTATATCACCGTCTTTGCTCTGTCATGAGAAAAAATTTTGAATTTCATTGTAAAGAGCCAAAGGCATTCAACATAATCTAATCTACCTACCCGCAAATTTGTGACTTTCATTGAACTAAGGATTAGATTATGCTGGTTGTTTCGATATTTTGGACATGTGAATAACTCATCTTCCTCCTAAAAAATTACTAATACGTAAACCCTTACCGGGAGAGTCAAAATAGCTTGTTAATGCCATTGCTATATCATAACGATTAGACTGGAACATAAATCTGTTGAATGGGTTGATTGGAACAAAATTCAGATGAATGGTTTATATGAGAATTGAGGTTTTCAATTAGTTTGATGATGGTTTGTAATATAGAGAGAATGGAGTTCTAATCATAAAATACCTAGAAAAGAAACGGGTTGCCAAGTCGAGAAGATAAGTAAGTTTTTAATTCAAACTAGTAAGTATATGCCTGAATGATAAGTTTTAGTCAGAAATAGAAATTTACACTTTGAGTAATTTAATTTACTTATTATTTGATAAAATTTACTTATGTTTAAACTAAACTTACTAATACTAAAAGTAAAAAATTTACATATTTAAGTGAAAAAATCACCGGGTTTCTAAAAATGATTTTGGGTTGCTGAAAACGGTTTTGGGTTCCTGAAACACTTTCGGGTATCACCTATCTCTTTAAAGTCATCTGTCTTCTTCTTATTTAGTTCTCAATTCCAACGATACGATTGAATTCCCAGGCAAAGGTTTCCACTTTGGTCCATACTTTCTCTTGGTCCAATTGTTGTTGCTACAAAGGGACAAAAGGCAAAACAGTCCACTCACAAGCGAAAGCGAAGACGATGCAAAAATTGCAAGTAATCACCTACTCTTAAAATTGACTTATTCTACGGTTAGAATAGCTTTGCAAAACCAGATATGAATGAGCAATGCTAAATTTCATCCACTCATTGGCTTTATGTTAGAAGGCCAAAAATGTTAGTTATATATGTACACTTCATATACGCCTTTATAAATTCAATCTTATTGTTTATGGATTGTGTTTGGCAATTTTTTTCCCGCAGGTCATTTGGACATGATAGACGAAAATGTACTAAAGTGTGCACAGATGCATATGAAACTCACAATTATGATCATGTTGGGGCACCCAATAATATTGAGAATGTAAATTTGAATCTGATAGGATCATCCGATGGCCTATTGCAATCAGATTCACAGCATAGATGCAATAAGGAATTAATGGATAGTAATTGGTTTCAGATCATTCCTCCTGGTCAGGTAATGTATAGCTTGCTTTTATTTATTTTTGTGTGAAGGCATGAAATATAATGGTGCTCTATTTGCATTTGTATAGGCATTAATGTGGGCATGCAATCCTTCATTAATCCAAAGTCATGTACAAAACACTAGCTTGTTAGGAGATGAAAAGTATTCAGGTACATTTTTCCTTCTTCACGCCTAAGTTTTATGTTATTTATTTGCTATGATTATGTGTTGTTGTGGCCTTTTTTTAATACAAATCTTGTGATGGTTTTGTAGTGAATGAACCAGATTTCAGCCAAGACCATTAAGGAATTTTATTCTTGAGAGAGTACAAATGTTTTTGCACGTCTTTGCTCAAAGCTTTTAGGATGATTTAAGTTTCTTCGAAGGTAGTTTAATGCGTTTTGATTGTAAATGTGAACATAATCTCCTTAGTTTGCAATTTCTGGTGTTTACTTGTTTTAATGTGAATAATTTCAGCTTGCTTGGAAAAAAGTTTGGTGATCAAATTTCAGATATTGTTAGCATCCAAGTGCTCTTGGGTTTGTAAACCAGAAATGTCAATCCAAACTGAAGCTTTTGATAGTGATATCAGAGCCCTTGATGCTGGTGATCAAATTCTCAAATCAAGTTACTAGCATTTTGATTGCTTCAGATTTCTGAAGCCAAAGTCTTTGTGCTCTAAATTCAGTTCTTGGCCATGTAATCTTGTCATGCTTAGATAGCTATATCTAGTGTCCTGCCAGCTTAATTTTGATGCGTAAGTATCAATTATTAAAAGTTAGATTCATTCTGATGCTCAAAATGAGCCGTTTTCTCCTATTTTGAAATACCAATTTCATATCAAATGTCTTGTGCATGTAGATTTTGCTGTTTACTTCAAATTGGACTGGCTTACTTGATGAGCAGAACTCGAAAAGCAACTCAAATACTCATGTTATACAATACTCAGCACACGGTTTTTTAGGCTTTAAAACGTCATTAATGAAAGTTACCCATTCGGTTGTTTAGGAATGTTAGGAGATTCGTCAAATTCAAATGACGATGCCTGAAACTTGTACTTATCCCCAAATTTGTGTTGTAGTACAGTATCAAGATCTTGCACCTATTCCATTCACCTATAAAAATTATGATTATCATAAAATGACATTTTATAATAATTTACATACTATTTGCCAATTAAAAGCAAGTTTCATAAAAAATGTGCATGTAAATCCATATTGTGAATGATACGAAATATATTTGAAACTCACGAAACTTAATATATGGGTAAATTTACTATAATTTTAAAAGATTACGCTACATTAGATACGATCACTTTACCTTTTATACTTGTGACCTAGAAAATAAATTTATTAAAACACATAACATTTATAAATGATGCATACATTTATTAAAATGCTTAAAACGCAAAACATTTATGAATGAAACATACAATCATTATTATACATTTATGTTACCAACAACTACTAACTATAATATTAAGTTTCAACCATTAATAAAAAAATCTTAGCACTAGTTTAAATAAACTTCTTAATACTTGTTTCATATAAGTTTCTTTAAGTAATATAGTAAATTTATGCCACAAACTAGTAAGTTTTGATGATTAACCAAATTATTATTCTTTCAAGAAGATTTACTATTAATCTATAAAAACTTACTATTACTTGAACTAAACTTACTCCCCACAAAACTAAGTTTCGAATGTAGAGTAGTAATTTAATTTTTAAAAAAAGTAACTTTCATTTTTATTTCGATTTACTTTTTGAAACATAAATAGGATAACACTTATATGACCATTTTCGATTTATTTTTTATTTACTTTTAGCGGCCATTTGATTATTTGATAGGCCTATCCACCTAAATAGGATAACACTTAAAAATAAGAAAGTAAGTTTTCCATCTAAAATAGTAAGTTAACAGTAATAAATTAGTAACTTTTATACTTCAAAATGTAAATTGGAATAAATATTAAACTTACTTTTTAAATAAATAAATTACTACTTTATATCCCAAACTTACTTTTTATAGTGTAAGTTTAATTCATGTAATAGTAAGTTTTAATACATAAATAGTAATTCTTACTGATAACATGGTAAAATTGATTAATAATCAAAATTTACTGATTTATGAGACACATGTACTATTTTACTTTAAAACATATTTCAAACTAGTGTTAGGGAATTTATTTGAAATAACGATAAGATGTTTTATTAATGATTAATTTTTAGTACCTTAGTTAGTAAGTACTCATAATATACCTGTATAATACAAGATTATAGTTAACATTTAAAAAAATTTATTTACATATTTTAAAATACTATGGAAAAAAGTTTGACTTTTCACATAATCTCGTAAAATATGTAATAAAATTTTGTCGTATTATAAGTTTTTAATTATTTTCAATTTTTGAAAAGTTTGAAAGTTTGGATAATAATAACAACAAATCTTCCTAGTTATATATAGAATATTACTTGTTTATATATCAAAATTTTTATAAATTAACACCTATGAATATAATAAGATGATAAAGTTTTAATAAATTTACATCTGAGACACAAGAAATAATAAGAGTAAAAGCCTAAACAAAATGAGAAATAATATAATAACAAAAATTATAAATTTAGTATAACAATTAATATAAGAAAATTAAATTAAATTTAGAAGGTAAATTAAATAACAATGTCAAGGTTAGAGGTCATGGTAAATGTTACAAATTTTAGGAGAAATTATGTACTGTAAAAATGGTTTAATAATTTTCTATTAAGCATAACTATTGCATACAAAAGGAAAAGATATTTTATTTTATTTTGCTTTGATTAGAAGAACTTGTACTAGTAATAAAAGAAATTTCAATTCAACAATCAACGTGTACATGATTACAGTAATTTTTTAGTCATTTAGACTAATATGTGTCATAAAGTAGTCAGATTTAGTCGTTTGTGAATTCATAATTTTAACAGTTTACATAAAATTCATCTATTAAAAATTATGATTATTATAAAATGCCCTTTTATAATAATTTACTTACCATTTGCCAATAAAAAAAGAGTTTGATAGAAAACATATGGATACAAATCCATAATGTAAATGATACAAAGTATGTTTGAAAGTCACAAAACTTAACATATGGGTAATTTTACTATAATTTTCAAAGATTATTCTATGTTAATACAACTTTAATTTTTATACTTGTGACCCAGAAAATAAATTTATTAAGATTTTACCATTTTATTAAATTCATAGGCATTAATATATGAAAATTGCGTACCATTTTATTATATTCATCGGTGTCCATATATGGAAATTGTGATGTATAGATAAGTGCAATTCTATATATAACTCAAAAGATTTTTTTTTACTGTCATCCAAACTTTTTAACCTTTTACAAATTCAAAAATAATTCAAAATTTATAATATGACAAATTATTCTTACATATTTTATAAGGTCATATGCAAAAAAAAAGTTTTCATAGTTTATTTAAAATGCTTAAAACATATAACATTTATAAATGATACGTACAATTGTGTATCATACATTTACATTACGAGTAATTACTAACTATAATACTAAGTTTCAATTATTAATAAAAAATCTTAGCATTATTTCAAATAAACTTCCTAATACTTGTTCCATATAAGTTTCTTTAAGTAAAATAGTAAATTTATGCCATAAACTAGTAAGTTTTGATGATTAACCCAAATTTACTATTCTATCAACAATATTTACTATTAGTCTATAAAAACTTACTATTATTTGAACTAAACTTACTCTCCAAAAAGTAAGTTTTAGATATAGAGTAGTTATCTACTTCAAAAAAAAAGTAAGTTCCATATTTCTTCAAATTTACTTTTTGAGACATAAAAGTTACTAATTTCTTGAGTTAACTTACTATTTTTAATGTAAAACTTACTAACCATATTTTTAGGTACTATTTTATTTAGATGACCAGTATAACAGGTAATCAAATGGTCGCTAAAAGTGTTTTTACCTGTTATATCAGGTAAAAACAGTTTCGTTATCATAACGCTCGTTACTTCAGACTTTTCCTTAATGTATTAGCATACTTTTTAAAATCTTCACCGTTAAAAGCGAAAATTGTTCAAAACGTTTTTCTCGTTGTTTTATCAAATGAATTTTTTGTCCTTCATATTTAAAATAGTAACTTTGCTTCCATTGAAAAATCAAATCCGTAAAATTTGATTACAATCTAAATTTTAGACCACTTTCTACCTTAAATCTATTATGTAAACTACATATACTCATTTTTTTAGGAACGAAGGGGTTAGACCCTATTTGTAGTTAAACAAATAATTCGATCCATATTCATTTTTATCTTTTAAAAGGTAAAATTTGATTCGAATCATATTCATTTTTTCCCTTAAAAAGTGAGATCAGATCCAATCCATATTCATTTTTTCCCTTAAAAAGGTGAAATATGACCTTTTATATATTAAAAAAAATGAATACATATAGGTCGCATGATAATTTCATATTAAAAAGTGGTAAAAAATTTAGGTTAAGGTCAAATTTTGCTAACCTAATTTTGTAAGGGCGTAAAATTAATATTTTTAAAGTAAAGAATGCAAAAATTTACTTAATGAAATACAAATGACGTTTTGAACGATTTTTTCCCATGAAAATATTTGCAAGTCATTTATCAATCTGCTTTTTTATACATTAAAACTTGAAAGTTTGAGTAGAAATGCTAACACTGATACACCAGATCCCATCAGAAACTTTAAAATTGAAGAAGGAACGAATGAGAATTAAGTATGCCATGTACTAAGGAAAGCTTGCAAGTCTTTGGAGACAAAGTGGCAATTGTACAAAGGTTAACCTCTAGTGAGAAACTCAAAATTCCAGATTTGGGGGTAAGATTAGAAAAGATATATATTTAACCAACCTTGTATATTTGTACAAAGTCTAGTAAGTAAAAGCTAATTCGTAGAAGGATACTATAATTTTGATATCTTAAGTACGTATAAAGCAATTTATTTTATCGCGTTTCTTCTCATATCTATTAGTGACACTATCAACATATAATGCTCATTTATGTTACCACTTTATAAGTTTTTGTGTGTTATTCTTTCTAGTTTATCTCAAAATAACAGTCATTATTTTTAGTTAAATTTATGGATTAATTTTACGTACACTGACAATGTATATTCTATTATCGTTTGATGCATGATAACTGATTTAGATTTAAATTTAAATTTGATATATACGTCATATATCTAACCGTGATAGTAGTATATACGTTATTAATATATATGAGATTAACTCTAAATTTATTAACCAAACAAAATGTACCTCATTTCAAACCGTTTACATGCATTTAAAAAAGGGCATATTCTCTCAAACATTATATTGAATTTTAATTCATTAATATGGTAAAATCATTAATTGGCCTGCACTTGTTTCACATTATGTACTTATCGAATCTAACAACAATGTTCAGTTTTTTTTTTAAAAAAACAATGTTCAGTTTAAAACGAGTTTGTATTCCTTTTTTTTTTGTGGTAAATAGAGGAATTTGTATTCTTTTGTAGTAAAACTATTTTTGGTGTATCGGTAGCTTTCACAGCATACAAGGACGCAGAAGAGCAAAAGCTGGGGTTTGGCTGGGGCGGTACCGGCCTTACCAATTCGTCTATGAAGAAAAAATTGAGATGGGGACCAATCCCTTTTTTTTTTTTTTGTTGATACAAGATGGGGACCAATCTAGAAAAGTTTGTTTGGACAGCTGATTATTTCCCCAAATATATTTGCTTACATCATCATTACAATTTTCAATACACCTTTTTATCTTCCCAATTACCTTTTTATCTCACATACATCACATCACAAAAAGTGCTACAGTAAAAATATCTCAAATAACTTACAATCCAAACAAACCCTGCTGCCCACCACCTAACTAGACGTGGAATGCTTAACCCAAAAAGGGGTGAAAAGAAAAATGCATAGATTTTTTTTTTTTGATAGGTAGACGGAATCAACCTAAGTCTG